AGTCGCTCTGGGGACGCGACTCACATCCCGTACCAGTCAGTATATACATTTTGAGCATGTTAAGATTTTAGAATTAAAAAAAAAATTTTACATTTTACATTCTTGACATCACTGAATCACATCTAACTGTGTACTGTTCCAATGACTCCCGGGGTTCCCACGAACGCGGCAGTGGCAAGGAAAATGAGTTGCGTTGTCTGGAACGGGAGGGGGAAGCAACTGAAAATTACCATTCTGGCTATAATTATGATCCGATCTGTTCAGTCGGCAATCTGGTAGTATGGGCTTCTACGATCTGCGATATCGACTAAAACTGTGCCCCACAGATTTCGTCCTTTGTGTGGGCGGAAGGGGGCGGGGCGAAATTGAACACTTGTAGCGTGTGATATCACTGAGTCTGGAAACCAATTTGGTTTCTCAGCCTTATAGTCTCTGAGATCCAGGCCTCATCAGACGGACGGACGGACAGACGGACAGACGGACGCAGCGGACATGGCTATATAGCTCGGCTATTGTGCTTCAGAATATACTATGGGGTCGAAACGCCCTCGCGTTGCACCCCCCTAATATACCCTCCTGAGTATGGGTATAAAAACCCATATTCTATTCAGATGAATCCCTGTACTAATTGATGACACAATGTTCGAGTTGGATCCAATCGGTTGAAAGCCACATTAATCAACTTTTTGTTGGATTGAATAAAAAAAAATTATATCTAAAAAAAATTTGAAATTGTAGCTGGTACTGTGGATTTACAAGAGCCTACAAATCACTTATTTCTTATTCAGTCGGTCAATAAATGGGTAGCAAGTAACCTTAACGATATCGAAAAAAACCTTCCACATTTTGCGTGTTTGGACTTCTTCCTCAAGCATGCATCAATTACAATCAGATTAGTTGCATGAGAGCTGAAACCCTTAAATGGAAGTATGTAGACCGCGGAATGAATACATCGTTGTGTTTTGAATGTGTTAAAGTCGAAAGGACAGACATGTATTGTATTAAGAATTTAAAAAAGATTACTTCGTATAAGTTAAAATAAATAAAAGAACAATCGTAGAAAGGACGTCGAAAGCTTGTATTTATGTACGTACATATGTATTCGAATATACTCGTATTTTTTTAATAATAAATATTAGCTCTTTTTGTTTTTAATGGCTTCAGCAACAAAAACGAGTTGCTCATTCTTTCTCATTTAAAATAATTATATTTTTGTATAAATATGAAGATATGTATGTATGTGAAAATGTATTTGTTGCGTAGTGTAATAATGAGAAGAATTCCACGGTCTACTTGCATTTACTTTTCTGACAAGCGTCAATAGTATCTAACTAATGGATCATCCGCCTTGGAACCCGACTAATTTTATGACTTAAGACTAAGACTAATGCTTATGACTTATTTTATTTCCCGACAATCAAAAGGGCAGTTTTAGAGGTTATACTTTTTGGCTACAACATATTGTACAGCTGTGGCCTGCATTTTGTTTTCTTTAAGGACATTGGTCTATTGTTGCTATTGTTGATAAAAGATAATGAAAGCGACCCAACACATAATAAATATTTTTTATTTAACACCAGTCGGAATGCCACGTGGTTTGTTCTGGCTGTTACATACAAATTTACACTTAAGCAATTTAATATGCTACTGCACTCTATAGGTGCCGGACGAATCTGTGTCAAGTACCGCTACCAGTAGCACTAGTGAACTTCGTTACTTTAAACAAAGATTAAAATAAGGACGAATTCGACTGTTATTGATGACTGTAGCCCAAATAGAACAAATGAATATTCCCAAAATGATTGACATACAATCTCTAATAGTAGCGTAATTAAATTTTATTGACTCGTGGAGTTTTATTAAAAGAATACAAATTAAAAAAGATCACTAAAGACAGATGCTTACAGTCAGTCAGGATTTCGCTTATGTAGCGGGATTTTGCTTATTATAGCGAAACAAATCATATATAAAACGAGAAGGAACGTGTGAGTCGCTTCTAAAGACGCGACTCTACTTATACCCGTACTCAGTCAGTATTTACATTTTTGAACATATAATTTTTTAAAATTTTAGAATTAAAAAAAAAATTTTACATATTACATTTTTTTTTCTACATCTGTTATCTACATCTAAAATGTATATTATACATCTAATATGTAGATTGTAAATGTACCATTTAGATTCTACATCTCCTCCGCTAGGGGTTGCTCGCTTACTGAACGCGGCAGAGTGTGCGAGCGAGATGGAAAATGAGATGTGTTGTCGTTGGCAGGAGGGGGCAGGAGAAGAAACTGAAAATTAATCTTGCCAATCTGGCTATAATTATGATCCGATCTGATTCAGATTCGGCAATCTGGTAGATATGGGCATTCTCTACGATACTGCGTACTCATCGAGACAGACAGACAGACAGTCAGACAGACAGACGGACAGATAGACATGGCTATATCGACTCGGCTATTGATGCTGATCAAGAATATATATACTTTATGGGGTCGGAAACGTTTCCTTCTCTGCGTTACACACATCCACTTTTACCACAAATCTAATATACCCCTTAACTCTTTTTTGAGTACGGGTATAATTATACTAATAATAGAGCACACGGTTATATTTTAAGCTAAGCCACAAACTCTGTTTCTTTTTCGCTAAAATATCAGCAGCAAATCAAATCGAGCATGATTTCTGATGCATGTAGGGGTTTATTAAATGTCCTGTTCAATCCCGATGTAAGCTGATAACAGCCTCTAGGTTTTATAATATATGTAAGGATTTTGTAAAAAAAAAATTGATTGTATTATATTAAATGACCAAATATTTAGAAAATACACTCATTCAGTATGTGTGTATAATCTGTTTGTTGTTCCTAAGATTCCAGGCGTAGGTATTATTGGAATCTCTGCTCCTTTTTTTCGTGAATATACAGTGTTTCGTAAAAACATAGGGGAATTTGCAAGTTAAAAAATGCATGAAATGTGCCGTAAAAACATAAAAACAAATATTTCTGCCGCAGACATATAAACATTTTCTTTTTCTGAAGAAGTTCAAACAAAAGCTGTGCATGAAAAAGTATTAACGAGAGGGACTTTGGGTGGCTTTTGTACGTACTCAGTCAGTTATACATTTTTGAGCTATGATTTTAGAATTTTAGAAAAAAAAAAAAACTATATCAAATTTTTTTTGTACAATGTACATGTTCCATTCATTCCCCCTAGGGGGCCGCCACTGCCTGCGGATGACGCGCGCCGGGGGCAACACCTAAAATAACCACGGCAAAAACCACTAAGCAACGGTAGATATGGGCATTTCTACAGCTGTGTTCATGGAAAAAGTAGTTTTAAAAAACAAAAAGATGGAATGCAAATGCAACGGAATAACTTGCTTACATTCCAGTCTATTCAAAAAGGTATAATCTGTTTAATTTGAAAGATTAAAAATGTCTCAAAAAGAGTTTTGAATGTGGTGAGATGCGCCACTACTATTTCCATGAACGCAGCTGTAGTTGAACTAGGAACGCTCGATATGCAAGTGTTTTGGCTTTCGACTTTTTGGCTTTCTTGGAGCCGCGACTTCTTTTGAGTTTTTTGTCTTGACTATTTCTGTGACGCAACTACTTGAATGTGATAGACGGTTACCCATGCTTTCTCCAACACTATGTATCTGCCATAAGAACCGTCGGTGTAAAATCCAGTATTTGTGAGATCTTTTTTTAGATCAGCATTGATGGAATCGATTGGTCGTAGGCCACCGAAGCTTGCCTTCGGTTTAATGTTTATACAAAGCTAAAAGTTGAATGAAGATTAGAAAATATTTCTTGATACTTTCTATTACTCATACAATTCGCAGTGAGGCTGTTCGTTAAATATAATTATGTATACTTACATATATGTACGTACATACTCGTATTGTTTTGTATATATTTCTACCGCGTTCGACTTCGATCATGCCGTTTTGGATGCGACACAATATTGACAGCGGCTGGCCTGCCGATATGCCCAGAGGTTCGGATTTTTGTAATTTAATTCTCGCCCAGAACCAGAAAGACACGAAGATGTCCAAAAGACTGCAAAGAACACATGCGATGTGCCCACATGCATACAGATCACGGTTGGCAGGCCGGATGGTCGACATGGATGCCTGGAAGCAGTGTCAGTCTCCTAATCATCGTAATAATTCGCCTCAACTTCAGTCGTTGGCAGCGACAACGAGAAGCCAAGCGGAAATTACCAACACGCGATATTTAATTTTTCCAAAAGGCGAACCAATAATTCGCCTTCATGCCGTTTCTTTGGCAGTTGCTATTGGTGTTTTTGTACCCTTGAAGAGTATATTATGATTTTTAGCAGATGTTTGCAACGAGATTGATATTTCGAAAACCAACACGTTCTCCTGGTCAGCTTTGATCAGTCATCTACATATGTTTAATCATCAAATATCAGCAGCAAAGAAAGGCTAGCGTCGGAAATGAAAAAATACAATAATCTCGAAGATAGGTCGATTCATATGTATGTTCATACGATTTTTTGTATGACTTAGCTTATTTCTTGTTTTTAGAGTATCATCAGTGGTAAAAATATTTTTCTGCAGACGTCGCGACATTTTACCGAACTATTTTCCCCCCTATGCTATGGCTCTTGGAAGTCCGACTTTCACCAACTTACGGAGTTATGTGAAAACATTAAAAAATTTACTTTTCATACATATGTATATACATAAGTATGTATAGATAGACATAACAAATTCTTCCCAAAAAGGAGTAGTGTTCCAGTCACAGCTAAAAGATATTCATAGTCACCTGAATTCGATTAGTTTTAGCCAGAGACACTGAGAAAAAACGAGAAAACTTTACCTTGAAAAATTACACATTTATTGAGAGAAACATTCAAAACTTCCGTTAAGGTTTACATACGCTAATCATGTTTAAATATGATTCCTTTTTTTATTTATTTTGTTTACATATGTGTATATGGTTGATATATTTATTAAGAATAATTGAGATTACAGCAGTTAAAAAACAAATGTTGTTTAATTTAATTGCTTACCGAACATTCAAAATTATTAGGCTATTTAACACAATAAGTTACATTTTATGAATTATTTATTATAGATGAAATTAATTTATTACTTATACAAGTTTTCACACAGTCGATATTTCTACATAATACTATCCGGTATGCAGTTTTATTAAAACCAGTTTTTCTTATACATATAAGTAGTTTGATTTCTTGATAAGTACCTATAAATAATAAATATGGTTTAAATAAACTCCTGTAAAATATAAATATTTGTATGTCCAGGAATAGATATTTTTAGAAGTATAAATATATAGCATAAAGCTATTAATAATTAACTAAGAAATATTATAATATGTACAAACAAATATTTCTATAGAGATTACAAGTTTTTACTGCTCCCCGTCGCTTTGTAATCTGCCTGTCGCGATGCTTTTGTCGGGAGTTTGAGATCTACTGTTGTTACGACTGGAGGCACACGAGCGCACAGAAAGATCTTCTGGCTCGCTGTCGAAGTAACTTTCATTCGAGGCGTCACTATGTGCCAGCGGGCTAAGTCTTTTTACAAGAGCATTGTTAAAAGGATATGTTTCGTCAGGTTCAGTGGCTAGAAGCTGTGGTGTTGTATGCTTCGGGACAGTTCCCCCAGAGGGTTGCATTGAAGCGGCGGCCGCAGCAAAAGCCAAAAAATTAAGACTGGCATTAAATAGTTTGCACCAATCCAGCAAGGCAGCCCCTTGGCAATCATTATCCGTCGTTGGAGTTGGAGCAGGAGCTAAATCCGAATGAGTGGAAAATGTTGGCGGTATCGCGGAAACCATAGTTTCGGGATAAATTGACTTCACTGGCTCCATTATTAGAGGATATTGCGTCGTGGTCAAGTTTGAATAGGATGGGTCAACCGCGTTGTTGTTCTTATCATTATTGAGTTGTGTTTCTTGACTGAAATGCGCACGTTTTGCTGGATCTTTTGCCCAATTTTTAACGCTCAGTAAGGGGCAGCTGGTTTTTGTTGTATTTTCTTCTCTTGGTGCATCGGCAATGTTTGTGATCTGGGAGCTTTGAATATCTGTGGCCACTGATTCGCCCGTCTGGTACGATAGTTTTGAATTTAGCTGCGCTAAAAGGGTTAGCTGATGTATCATATTGTTTGTTGAATAATCCACACCTGACAGGGCATTCGCTGCACTCAGCGAGTGGGCGTCTCCCAATTCTCGAATTGCGTTTGGATGCAGTCCATTTTTTTTCACAAATTCCACGAAACTTAATTTTTCTAATAATGATTCGTTTTGGGTTGGAAATTCAGTTGCCGAAAACAGAAAGTTAGTTAAACCAAGATCGTCGTAGTTGGGGAGTGTAGCGTGTTTTGGTGGCAGCAACTGCAACTCGAATTTGGCACGTTTTTCGGGAGGTGTGTCAATCCCCAAGTGATCTGGACCTAATTGACGACACATAAATCTTAATTTTTGTTCGTTCTTACACCAGCCACGCAAGGTTGATTCTGGAACTCCCAGATCCCTGGATACACTTGCTTTTGTTTCACCATTATGGATGCGTTGAATGGCTCGAACCTTGTCATTTGGTGTGAGATTTCGCAGCGGTCGCTTTCCCCGCGTACTCATTCTGATATTCATGTGTTGGTACGCTGAGATATCCATTTCAAAACCACAAACTTCCAACAAGAAAACTTAGGGACTTCTAGTGTGATATCGTATCGAGTCAACACGACTTAAACGCGGGTGTTTATTTTTGATCCGAGCTCTGCTGCCGCCGTTGTTTACTCCTCAAACTAACAGAAGGATATGATTTTGATACCACGAACCCTGCTGCATCGGAGCTTCTCATAGTATATCCGAAGCAGCTGAGAAGCAGCCGAAGCCAAGATAACTGCGGCGAAGAGAACTTTAAACATAAGCGTAAACATAGCGAGAAGGCAAACAGACACACAAATACATCTACAACCAATAGAGAATCACGCTTCTCTCTCTGAGATGCTGTGAGAGGACCTAGCGAAAATAATACAAACAACACTGCCACACCACTTCAACAACTTGTTACTCACAAAAAGCCGCTTTGCGCAAACTCTATGCAAGAGCGAACAACAATAGAAAGGACACGAAGCTCTCCTTAACAGAAGATTCGTTTCTCTCTGCGGTCTCTTTTAACGAACAGAGAACGAACGCGAGCTTACATTTTTTTGTTCTCTATTTCAACCAACCATCTTGATACGCAGGTGGATGCACATTTCAAAATTATTTTTTGTAGGCTTTTTCGCTTGTTCATACCACTACGAGTATGCACATGCATTTGTATGTATGTATGTGCCACAAACAATATTTCATTATGCAAGTACACATATTTATTTATGTATAGCCATTCTTTCCTTGTACTATATTATTGTACAATATATGTAGTTGTATACTTGTACTATATAGTCGGCAAAATTTGTATTTAAATAAATTTTAGGTGTCCATCTTACATGTTTCTGTTCTTTTGCTTATAAACAAAATGGTACATCATTTCGAATACTGGTTAAATGTACATAGGAGTAAAATATGTCCTGCTCGATAAGAAATCACTTCAAACCGGCTACAAACAAATTGACAGCTCCTTTGAGGGATTTGGTATATAATTTAATAGCTACATATAAAAAAGTATGTATCTTTGATTGACTAGTCATTGTATGTATATATGTATATGATACATGTAGTAGTTCCGATCTTGGTGAACCGACAAAAGCCAAAAAGCAAAGCTTTTGGGAGAGCATTCTCCAACGAAGAGCATAGTTAGCGGGCCAATTCATCGATATTGCGAAAGACCATGAGTTTTATGCTTAAAGTTGGTTTAAGTGAATGTAACAACAAGAAGAAAGCATTTCCGACCCCATAAAGGCGTCCCCATCCGCTGCTGACTCCTGCTACTCCACTGAATTTAATTATAATCTTGAGGCACCTACATTGTTTGGGCTACTAAACCTTCGACTGGTTCATGCTCTCATTGTCGGCTAAAAGTTATATTTCTCAGATTGACTTTAGATATATATTTTCAGAGAGTAAATATGATGGGAAATAACGAGAAAAGTTTATTTATTCAACAGCTCCATAATCAGCAGATAAAATTCCCTAAAGATTTGTGTGCTTTTTTTAAGATTTTTACAGATGAGAATAGCTTAGTTTGAATATGAATCACAAATACTGATACGCTAATAAATGCAAATATTAGGAAGTCGATTCGGATGTTGAAATTAAATTAATTATAACAATCATACACTGCTTAATGAAAGTTCAAAAAATTTCTATACTCTTCACGATAAAGTTTTTATGGCTATAATATATATAATTAAAGCACTGCAATTAAATGACTGACAGATAGACTTCATAAATATATTTATTTTAACTTATGACATTCTAAGTTGGAACGTTTGAGTCCAGATACCTGGGACGGACTCAGTTCCCGCGTATATAGACCTGTTTTTCGAAGAAGAAATGTAAATTCTTATTAGAGAACTTATTCACAAGCGTGATAACAAGAGCATAATGTTTGGGTTTCGTTTTTGAAAAAGAGTTATGGGGAATGGAGTCTTATGAAGTCAAACTGCCTATACCTGCCTGTATGTACATACGTCATAAAATATGCAGCCAAAATCCTAAAATTTGCCGCCCCCCAGTCCACGTCGTTGGTGGTGCACAACTGGCCTGCCCCCCGGACACCCTAGTGGGGCTAGTGGTTTGTGGGTGGCGCCTCCGCTGGTTGTGCTAGGCCTGCAACCTGGCCGGGAACTGATGGATTTTTTACGACATTTTGACTTTAAAAACTCAGGAAAAGTCGAAAAAAAATTATATCCTGTGTCCTCTATTTTTGTGTGTATAGGTGCATTAATTTGGCGTCGTTTAAGATATCGCTTATTAAAATCTATGGAGAGACTTTGGAGCTGAAATTCGTTAACCAAACCTAAAATATGGAAAAAATTAACAAAAAATACCTTTTGGAAGGTTGCGAGCCCAACTGCCCATTGGAAACAAAGGAACGCGATCAGGTACCAAATGTACAACCCTTGTTCGTTTGATTTATTCCCAATTGGCAGTTTGGCAGTTTTTTCGAATTTTCCTGAGTTTTTAAAGTCAAAATTTCGTAAAGAATACCGCACAAAAATCATAATTTTTGCATTTCAATGCTTTATATTTCCCAGACGGTAAGCTGAAATCACAAAGTTTGGCATCAACTTTTAGCTGTTTCAATTATCTTTTCAAAATAGCAAAGTTCTTTACAGCCAGACGTAAGATACTAGATTTATGTGAAAAAAACAAGCGCTACCTCTGAAAAAAGCTTTAAAAAAAATACCAGACTTCAAAAATTCTTCAAAAAAAAGTTCTGCAATAGAAAAAAAAACATAATTCTTTAAAAAAATTTAAAGCCCCATATCTATCAGAAAAATTCGGTTTGGATCCTTGAGGAAAAAACAAGTTCGATTTTGTCGAGTAGTGTAACCAGGCATATAAGATATGTAAATATATAGATATAATGAGAAGGAAAGTGTGAGTCGCTTCTGTGGACGCGTACTCAGTCAGTATATATATATGTGAGCTTTTGATACATATATGTGGAATTTTAAAATATTTTACATATCAAATATTTTTCTTTATCTGTCATCTACATCTACAACGTATATTCTACTCTACAAAGTAGGTCTTCATCTTCAACCGCAGAGGTTGTTGGCTGCTCTAGCTTTTATAGTCTCACCACAAATACAATATACCCCTTAACTCTTTTTGAGTACGGGTATAAAGACCTTTTTAATAAAGATCTATTAAATGATATAGAAGACTTGGGGGTTGGCGAGCGTTGGAATGAGCGAAGCGAGTAAGCATGGGGCTTGCCCCCCTAGTTTAACTTATAATAACTTTTCACCTAATTAAAAATACTTTCTCTCTTTTCACCATCGAATTACTATTTAACCCTAATATTACTTTCACTCCGCCATGGCATGCCACGCTGAAGAAAAGATAAAAATATAGAGCACGGCAAATTTTGGATATCGAAAACTTGTGTCAAAGGAGCCTGCAAACAAAATCCGGTTGATTTAACCATTATAGTCTTTTACTGCTTATACCAGATTGCTAACTCTAGCCGTTGAGTCTTCTCCGCTTATACCTACTCATTTTATACACGAAACGGAGTTTTTATACCCGTATTCAAAAAGAGTTAAGGGGTATATTAGATTTGTGGTAAAAGTGGATGTGTGTAACGCAGAGACGGAAACGTTTCCGACCCCATAAAGTTTATATATTCTTGATCAGCATCATTAGCCGAGTCGATATAGCCATGTCTGTCTGTCTGTCTGTCCGTCCCCCTTCCGCCACCACAAAGTACGAAAATCTGTGGCATGCACAATTTTAAAGATACGATAAAACTAAAACGCAGTATCGTAAAGAATGCCCATATAACTCTTCTTTAAACAGTCTTTCAAATGGCCTCCGAATTTGAATCATTCATAGTCTCATTTCATTCAGGTTCTTACAAGATCTTTTAATCTGCCATTTAAAGCTGCCCGATTTTAGTGACTTACATTGTCAGAGAGCCAACAATTAATAAAGGATTCGTGTAAGACAATATTCCAAACTTAGTTGTAGTCCAATGTGGCAAAAGGGGTTCATTACTTCTTTTTTTTATTTAGGATGTTTATTAACAGTTATCTGCTAATTATGGACTAGGATGAAAATAACTAAGAATAAGTTAAGATAAAAGAGGAAAAATTAAAATTAAAATTACAAATTCGCTAAATCTAGATGATAATAAATATTATGTAATAAGATGTTAAGGGATATTTCAGGGGATATAATATGGTAAAGTGAATTACGGATCGTCAAACTCCTTTACCAGCGTTTGATAATTATAATGACCACATAAAACACGGAACGGTTCATGCTGGGCGTAGTTAAACCTACATAAGGGTTATCGGATAGGCCAGAAAGTACGGGTTGGTCTGGAAGGAACTGCGAATCTATCTTTCCTAAAAGTGTTTGGAAGTCAACAATCCCGACAATAAGCTTATGTATAATCATCACCCCATTGCAAATTCTGCGATGGTGTAATGAGGGAAGGTCGAGAAGTTTAAGCCTAGATCAGTATGGTGGTAAGTGTCTGCCAGTGTCCCAGTTCAGATTCCTAAGGGCAAAAAAAGGGAAAATTTTTTTTGAACGGATTCAATTTGAATTTGTTGCTCTTTGTATTGAGGGCTCCACACAAGAACAATACTGCAATATCGGACGAACTAAAGAGACGTATAAAGTTTTAGTGACATACGGATCGTCAAACTCCTTTACCAGCGCTTGATAAACGCTAAAACTCCCATTGCTTTGTTTGCCGTTAAATCAATATGGCTGTTAAAACATAGGTTGTGATCGAAGAGCACTCCTAGGTCTTTTGATTTTAAAATTCGATCCAGAACATGATGTCCTATGAATAGGGAGCCAAATGAGGAGGTCGGCGATGAAAGGTCATAATTTTGCACTTAGAATGGTTCAAAAAAAGTAAGTTACTCGAACACCATCAGCATTCATTAATGTAGTTGAGTGCAGAATAACTTGAGGTAGGTCATTTACAAACAGATTGAACAGCAGCGGACCTTAATGACTTCTGTGCGGAACACCTTACATTAACGACATTTGACAAAACATTAGTAAACAAAACACGCAGTGTACCGTTCGACAGATACTACGATAAGGAAAACACAATAAGGATAGCTTATGGATCAGCAAAATATGATTAACAGAATCGAAAGCCT